TGGCGAGTCAAGCCACGGCTACGCCAGGGACTCAGAGCTTCAGACTGCGCAAGGCTTGAACGAACCGGTTTTGACAGAGCACTTGTCGAATTTGTTGAATAAAGTGGCTGGCAAAATATGGCAAATCTATTTTCAACCTTCTAAAGTAGAGTCTGGGACTCAAAATTAAGTGCTGGATTCAGCTGCTGGATCAAGTTTTAAAAAAACCAGCATCGTGGATCTGAGGAACCAGCCAGGGACAGGCTCGGCTGATTTTGTAGGTCCAGTGGCATTATTCTGACGCATGGGCCTTGTCATGAAGCAACACTTTCACTAATTGCAATAAACATCAATAACAATCCAAAAAATATGTGTCTGATCCGCACTGAACCTCTTTGGTCCAGAAGTCGAAGTAGAAATGGAGACAGTGGAGACTGAGACAGAAGCCACGCAGGACCGTGTCGGTTCTGCAGTTTGATTCCTACCGAGAACTGGTTCAAACGTTGATCCCTGGAAAGCCATGAGGTTTCGATTACATGCCAGTTCTGTTTTCTATCTTCGCTCTGCAAGCCCCATCACCTTCATGAAGCAACAGTGGAGTTAGACCCATGTTATCACAGTACTAGGACCCAGATGCCAAGGTGAACCAGGTGTTCCAACTTGTTCCAACTTGTTCCAACTTGCAGCTGTGTATGTACATTATCATCATTATCATACATGCCCCACGCTCTGTCAGGTTGTCCCTGATGAAGGTGTCAACATTGTTCACGTTCAGCAGGAAATAAATTCCTTCATCGATGAATGTCGGTCTAGTCACAGTCGCAGTGGCAACAAATGCAAAGTCATCCAAAATGCATGTACCCCACGAAGTGGGGAATCAGTGCTTTTGGGATTCAGCATCCAAGGGTTCTTAATTCATCTTAATGCTGTGAATTTGTCTCAGTGTTCTCATGATGACCACTAGATGACAGGAGGAAAAAATCGCAATCTGCGACCTTGAACCGTGGGAAGCCACAGTCTTTCTGTCAGTGCACAAGACTGACAGTGAAGGGAATCTACTATAGCAAACTGTATTGAAGGAAGGCTCTGCAATGGTTTTCGAGAGAGTCATTTCACTGTGGAAACAAATTTGGCCCTTCACATTTCCCATGCAAATCCCGGCCCAGTTGGCCGCCGCTTTTTTGTCTCCTGCCAAGGGTCACTGATCCAAAGCCCAAACCGATGGCATGGCGGAGGTGCTGGAGCTTAATGTCAAGATGTCAAAACGTCAAAACATGATAGGACTGATCAAGCAATATAAAACATGTGTCAAAAATTGTCAAAGCATGTGAGCAATGGATCAGCTTCTGAGGGTACACTTGCACTAGCCATCGGTCAGTCAAATCACCATATGGCAGCGGATGTGGATTTTTAAGAAAAGATTTCCAAGGACTGGCCCTCGACCCAAGCCTCCCGTTGTTCGGAGCTCACCAAATATCGCAGGATTTGAGACACAGGAAACAACGGAGACGAGGGTAGACGAGGGGAGACAAGAGATAAAGATGCAATCAGAACTCAGTAAGACTCAGATGTACTGCTCTGAGTTGCACTTTCCAACAGAAGTTTTAGCTACCAATTGGCAGTTCCCTTTGTTCGGTCATGTCCAGGCTGTTACGGACTCGTTTTTGTTTCATTTTGTCCCCGTGCTCGTGGAGCTTTGGGACGTGCCGATTTCCTTCTCGCAGATGTCCGAAGTATCACGTCCTGCAACGTCGTGTCCGTTTCCACAGAAATTTGCACGATCTTAGGCCACGTTGCCAGTCCAAATCAGTCGCGAGGTGCCCAAAAAATCAGGCACACGGGAAGGGGTGGAAGGGATAAAAGCGGCTTTGAATCGGCTTTGACTAAGCCCTTCCAAAGCCTTAGCCCGTCCTTTCGACCTGGCGGGTTCCCTAGGGGAAAATTTTTGTACATTCTGTGCGAAAGCTTCATTGCTTCATTTGGCAGAATCTAAGACCAGGAGGCCCAGATCGCAATCGGCGAAAGCATGGCATAGCAGGCCTGGAAACTGCGGACCTGGGTCAGGGAAATGACTTGATGAAGATGGATGCATATCATAATTATATATATATATCATCCTTTTTGCTTCCAGTTTGGGTTCGGGGTCAAACTTTTGGAATTATTGACAATGCCAAGTGCACCTTTGGAGGCATCCTGCAGTCAAGCACGTCATTACCTGTCCTGCGCACTACGCCAGATTTGCTTGGTGTTCGACAGGCACTCAGTCTAAGGTCTGTGTGGTCTTTCTCCCCAAACAGTGTGTCCACACTGAGGGGTTCTCGCGGTAGGAGTTAAGGCGGGGTTAGATCAGGGTACGCTCTCTGGTGCCCGGAATTTTTGTTGTACATTCTCGCATAAAAGTGGCTCTGTGCGATGTCTATGTGCATTTCGATCGCGCAGGCTCGCACACAGTGAGGGTCGCAGTTTTGGCTCGATCTTGGGCCCCAGCTTTTTCCCTGAGAATTCTCGCGTAAAATTATTCCTTGAGATGTCCATATCAATTTTGACTGCGCATGCACGCACAAAGTGTGCCGGCGCGGCATCTTTCCTGTAAGTTCTCGCCAAAAAATTGCTCTTGTGAGACGTTCATGTTGTGCATTTAGACTGCGCAGGTGCGCTGCGGGGTTCTCAAGCTCTGGGCCCGCGGCATTTTCATTGTAAATTCTCGCATAAAAGGGCTCTTGTGAAGATCCTGCGAAATTCCTCTCTAAAAGGTCCTTGCATGATCGTGTACTTAACAGAAGATCTTGTGGAGATCCTGGTGAGATACTTTCTAAGAAGTCCTTGCGTGAGGAGCTTGCAGATGCCATGTCTTAGAGGGGCTTGTATGAAAGCTCTTGTGCGAGGCTCTTGGAAGATCCTTGGAAGATCCTTGTTAGATCCTAGTGAAATGCTGTCAGAGGCCTTTGCATGATCTTGCACAGGTCCTTGTGAGAAGCTCTTGGAGAGATCCTGGTGAAATCCTTTCGGTGTCCTGACATGACCTGGTACAGTTCCTTGTAAGAAGATCTTGTGGAGACCCTCTTGAAATCCTCAAGAGGTCCTTGCATTAAATCATTAAGATCTTGAAGATCCGCTGCGTTGGTGCTTGCATGAAAGTTCTTTTGGGATGCTCATAGGAAGTTCTTGTATGAAGATCTTGTGAGCTCCTCTATATTATAGAAGGTCCTGCTGCTGCAGTTGCGATCATGTCTAAACTCACCTGTTAGCGTTCCATAGCTACAGCTACAGTTGCTTGAATCTGGCACATTGACTTCCTACTCCCCCCACTGTCTGTGTACTGTAATTTGAGCCTTCAAACTGGGCTCAATCAAGGCCATATCAAGACATATCGACTATTCCGACTATTCCCTCATGGGTTTCTTTCATGCAGGATGGCAAATGACGGCACACGAATTCAATTGAATTTCTTCTGAGGCAATGAGTATTATGGCGGCGATGAACTTTTTATGCACGAGGCGAGTCGTTTGCGCTGAAGGGTAAGAACGCCTGAGAGAGTCCTGTTCATGGCAGTAGCGGACTTTATCGTGCATTTGCATGTCCAATTTTTCTGCTTGTGATTGGCAGGACATCTTGCATACGTCTAATCCACGGCTGTTCCCTTTGCGCGGAGGCTTGTGCGGCAGATTTTTTTTGTTCAGCCCGAGAGGGGCATAATTCAGAGCAGCGGCAGCTTCAGAAATTCCAATTTGTCCCTTCCCAAAGCTGACATTAATACCAGTCCATACTGAAATGACTGAGACCTGTCTTCAGGTCACTCCACGCCATTCCCTATTGTGAAGCTGTCTCTCCCAGACTTTGATCTGGATCTGGAATGAACTTAGGCGCCGAAACTGGTTGCTTTGGGGACATAGCAGAGTTGGAGTGACTCTTGAAGCATCAACTGAATTCTGGAGTGAGTTGGAATGATATTCCTCGTTTATCCTCGTTTCAACAGATCCACCACCATGGAATCTTCCATTGAACAAAGAGAGGAGGATTTTCAGGCCTTCTATGGCACGAGAGATTGCTTTGTCGCAGCAATCAGCACCTGGAGCATTTAATAACTTGGTTTTGGCATAGACGTGAAACCATTTGGCAATTGCGAGGCGTCGCTCTTCGGCGGCTCACTGCGTTACAGTGGTGTTGCTGTGCTTCGCACTGGCCATTGCGCATGACTTTTGAAAGTATGGCAGGTCTGACTTTTTGTCATGTCATGTCACTTCATGCCATTTCACTTTTCCACTATTTTCCAAGTTCGGAGCCTATGAAATTCCAATTCATCCGCAATCATCTATTCATTACGATTTGTAGTCAGGCCAACCATTCCTGGGTCCAGTATGTTGAACAGTAGCCGTTGGCCAAACAGCATTTCTACGTGTTCCTCCTGTCCAAGGCAGTATTTAAATGTCTTTGCCTTTGGTAGCTTTGCAATGCAAAAGTCAAATTCCTCTGGGCCAGTACGTGGCAGAATGTAGAATGTAGACTAAACTATTTGATACTTGAAGGATCTCAAAGAGATCTTGCGCGAAGTTTGATCTGGGGCAATCTGAACCTGACTCTTTTAGACAAGGTCCATGCGATGTTTTCTGTTGCGGTTCTGCCGCAGATCTTGCAAAAAGTGGCGCAGAAATGGCAGACACAGCAATCGGATACTCTCGGATACGACCCAGATTGTCGTACAAAACCTGTTGGCAAATCGGTCGCGTGGCGACACTCGCTATGTGCCAACCCAAGTTTCACTGCAGCAAGATACCGTGGTGCGGCTTATCAAAATTGGGCAAAGTGCTTCAGACTGCAATGGAAGGTTACATACCGTAAGTTTTAGGATGTGAAGCTGGAGATGAATTGTGTTGAATTGTTCTTTTCAACAAAATAGAGCAACTGTAGTCGCCAGAGACCTGTGGATATCAATGTGCATACCTCGTGTTTATCCGACTTTCTCCTGTTTCTCTTGTCTTGTGAGACTTGTGAGCCTGAGATTCAAAGTGAAGCATTCCAAGGCGATCCCCGTGAAGCTTTCCTGAGGGCAGCCCTTGGTACTGCCATTGTGTGGCTTGGCTTCGCTGGAAGGGTCTGCTGTGCTTTGCAAAGCTCGAAGTTGTTGCATGACTTTTTCAGATTTGTTCAGGCCATTCGATGCGCACGTGTGTTTTCAAAGAACATGACCGTTCACTTCCTTTACTTTATTCACTTTTTCTTGAAGATCGATCGTTTTAGAGGATCTGTGAAAGAAGCTCCAAGCTGCACTGGCCAAGGCCGCTTCTTTCAGACACCTTGCTCTGCCTTTGTGTCAAGGTGGCATCATGGCTCCGAAGAACCTCGTTTGTGACTTCCATACCCCTGTTGCTTCGCTGTCGTTTTGACAGGAACCAGCTCTTGCTCTGCCAATGCTCCCACCCTTGCAGGCCGCTGCCGACATACTGCAAAGTTTGAGACATCAACATCTGACAGATTCAACGGAACCCACGCTTCACCAACATATCAAGAAGGAGGCTTAAAGCCAAGCTGAAGCAATAAACTGTAGCCAGCAGTGGCTGATGCTCTTACTGCTGATACAGGAATGGAAAGGAAGCGGATGAATTGACAAGTTTCCATGATCTCATGCAGGTCTTACAGACCCTTCCTAGTATTCCAGCAGAAATCTTGAACTCAGAGAATGACATGGCCAAGAATTGCCGAGATAGCTTTGGAATTATTTGAATCAGAGTGAGACAATGTGCGCCACTTTGAGGCATCCGTGCTTTGGACCGACGCCTTCAATTCGGTGGCCGCCAACAACCTCTCGGACCTGGAATGGTTCTTGCTCTTGTGGCCCGATAGAATCAACTGCAAACACATTAGACCTACTTCAAACCTTCAAACAACTTGGACGACTAATCAGATTGTATTTGAACATGTATGGCTGTTTCCACTAAGTTGTCGGCTTGAACCAGATTCCCATAGATTCCCAATATTTTATTGTATGAAAACCATCAAATTCATCGAATCCAGTTATCCTTGAGTTCTGTAGTGTTATCGGGGACACACTGAAAGAGTTTCATATCCGACCTGACAAGGGGGAGCCGTTTTATGCTGAGATGAACCTATTCCTTGCCATTCTGTCTGCGTCAGTAAATGAGAAACCTTGCCTGCACTCCAGGTATGTGAAGCACAATGCATGGAAAGTCGCGTTTCGAGAGGCGGCATGAGCGGCAAGTCGACCAACAATTTACGGCAAAAGTATTTTGCCAAGCTGCCGAAAGCGTCAACATGAAGCTTAAGTTAAGGGAGCCCAAATGGAAGGCAAGCACAAATGCAGAAAAACAGACAGACACAGAGAGAGAGAGAGAGAGAGAGAGAAAGAGAGAGAGAGAGAGAGAGAGAGGGAGGGAGGGAGGGAGGGAGGGAGAGAGGGAGAGAGAGAGACAAAAAGACTGTCTACTGGAAAGCATGAAGGACGCAAGAGAGAGACAGAGAGAGAGAGAGGGAACAGAAAGCGAACTGGAACGAAGCCACTGCACGTGTAGTCAGCGTTTGCAAGCTGTGCTGTGTACTCAGAATGGTTGTTGGTCGCGTCATCAGCCGTATTGCCCTCAATTTGTAATGCTCAAGTGCAGAGTCAAATGCAACTTACCAACAGTGTTATTTGCATTTGTATTGTTATGTGTTGTGCGACAATGCTTGTACTGAAACGACCAGCATTTCGCTCATACACTGGTCGCACGAGCCAAGGCCCATGACAGTTTGTGGATTTCAACCTATCCATGTGAGCACTGTTTGAATGCGCACCTGGCATGAAAATGCAGATGCATAAGTGTTTTCCAGAATGCGTGGCGAAGTGTTCTTGTTTTCTTTCTTGGGGGTCTGGGGGTGGTGGACTGTTTGCGGGTCGTTTTCGTGTCGCGGGTCTCTAATCGCGTCGTCGTGCTGTCTATGGGGAAAGTGAGAAAAGGTGATTTCTTGTGACGTGTGAAAGTGCTTTGTGGCAGTCAGGCCAAAGTTGCTTCGCGACTCTCTAATTACGTCGCCGCGCTGTCTTTTGGGAAAGCGAGAAAAGGCGATGTTTTGTGGCGTGCCAAAGTGCATAATGCGCAGCAGGCATGGGAGTTTGTGGCACTCGCGCGAGTGTGAAGTGTGCAGTGTGGAGTGTGAAGCGTGGAGTGTGAAGTGTGGAGTGTGAAGTTTGGAGTGGAGAGTGTGAAGTGTGAAGTGTGGAGTGGAAAGTGTGAAGTGTGAAATGTGGAGTGTGAAGTGTAGAGTAAGTAGTGTGAAGTGTGGAGTAAGCAGTGTGAAGTGTGGAGTGTGAAATGTGAAGTGTGGAGTAAGCAGTGTGAAGTGTGGAGTGTGAAGTGTGAAGTGCAGAGTATGAAGTGTGAAGTGTGGAGTGTGGAGTGTGAAGTGTGGAGTGTGACGTGTGGAGTGTGCATTGTGAAGTGTGGCGTGTGAAGTGTGAAGTGTGGAGTGTGCTGTGGGAACTATGAAGTGTGAAGTGTGGAGTGTGAAGTGTGGAGTGTGGAGTGTGAAGTGTGGAGCGTGAAGTGAAGTGAAGTGTGAAGTGCGAAGTGTGAAGTGTGTAGTGTATAGTGTGTAGTGTGTAGTGTCAGGTGTGAAGTGTGAAGTGTGGAGTTTGAAGTTTTGAAGTTTTGAAGTTTGAATTGAAGTGTGAAGTGTGGAGTGTGGAGTGTGGAGTGTGGAGTGTGGGGCTTGAAGTGTGAAGTGCGAAGTGCAGTGTAGTACCGGGAATTACTTTGCGCAAGCATTGTAGTACAAAGTAATACTGAGAAGTGCCTTGTGCAAGCTTTGTAGTACAAAGTAGTACTGGGGAGTAAGCTTTGCAGTACAAAGTAGTGCTGGGAAGTGCCTTGTGCAAGCTTTGTAGTACAAAGTAGTACTGGGAAGTGCCTTGTGCAAGCTTTGTAGTACAAAGTAGTATTGGGAAGTTCCTTGTGCAAGCTTTGCAGTACGCAGTATTACTGGGAAGTGCCTGGTGCAAGCTTTGTGGTACAAAGTAGTACTGGGAAGATCCTTGTGCAAGCTTTGTAGTACAAAGTAGTGCTGGGAATTAGCTTTGCAGTACAAAGTAGTGCTGGGAAGTGCCTTGTGCAAGCTTTGCAGTACAAGTAGTGCTGGGAAGTGCCTTGTGCAAACTTTGTAGCACAAAGTAGTACTGGGAAGTGCTTTGTGCAAGTTTTGTAGTACAAAGCAGTACTGGGGAGTTCCTTGTGCAAGCTTTGCAGTACAAAGTAGTACTGGGAAGTTCCTTGTGCAAGCCTTGTAGTTCAAAGTAGTACCGGGAAATACTTTGTGCAAGCTTTGCAGTACAAAGCTGTATTGGAAGGTATTTGGTGCAAGCTTTACAGTACAAGTGTGAAGTGTCAAGTGTGGAGTGTGAAGTGAAGTGTGGAGTGTGGGGTGTGAGGTGCAAAGTGTGGAGTGGAGAGTGCGGAGTGTGACGTCTGAAGTGTGGAGTGTGAAGTGTGGAGTGTTGAGGTGGAGTGTGAAGTGGAGAGTGCGAATTGTGGAGTGTGAAGTGTGGAGTGTGAAGTGTGACATGGAGTGGGAAGTGTGGAGGGATGCGTGTGAAATGTGGAGCGTCAAGTGAAGTGTGAAGTAGGAAGTGCCAGGTGTGCAGTGTGAAGTGTGGAGTTTGAAGTGAAGTGTGAAGTGTGGAGTGTGGAGTGGAGAGTGCGAAGTGTGAAGTGTGCAGTGTGGAGTGTGCAGTGTGCAGTGTGAAGTGTGGAGTGGAGAGTGTGAAGTGTGAAGTGTGAAGTTTGGAGTGTGAAGTGTGGAGTGTGAAGTGTGGAGCGTGCAGTGTGACATGTGGAGTGTGGAGTGTGAAGTGTGGAGTGTGGAGTGGGGAGTGTGGAGGGCGAAGTGTGAATCGCAGAGTGTGGAGCGTGGAGTGTGAAGTGTGGAGTGTGAAGTGTGGAGCGTGCAGTGTGAGACGTGGAGTGTGGAGTGTAAAGTGTGGAGTGGAGAGCGTGGAGTGTGATGTGGGAAGTGTGGAGTGTGGAGTGTGAAGTGTGGAGTGGGGAGTGCGAAGTGTGAAGTGTGAAATTTGAAGTGTGTGTAGTGTGAAGTGTGGAGTGTGAAGAGTGAAGTGTGGAGTAAGCAGTGTGAAGTGTGGAGTGTGAAGTGTGAAGTGCAGAGTGTGAAGTGTGAAGTGTGAAGGGTGGAGTGTGTGGAGTGTGGAGCGTCAAGTGTGAAGTTTGGAGTGGAGAGTGTGAAGTGCGGAGTGTGGAGTGGAGAGCGTGAAGTGTGGAGACTGTGAAGTGTGGAGTGTGAAGCGGTGTGGAGTGTTGAGTGTGAAGTGTGGAATGTGGAAGGTGGAGTGTGAAGTGTGGAGTGGGAAGTGTGGAGTGTGGAGTGTGATGTGTGAAGAGTTAAGCGTGGAATGTGGAATCTGGAGTGCGAAGTAATACTGGGAAGTGCCTTGTGCAAGCTCTGTAGTACAATGTAGTACTGGGAAGTGCTTTGTGCAAGATTTGTAGTGCAAAGTAGTGTTGGGAATTTCTCTGTGCAAGATTTGCAATATAAAGTAGTACTGTGATTGTCCAGCAAGAGAGTCTTACAAGAGTGTTTCAGAGTATTGACAGAGAGTGTTTTACCAGAGTGTGCCACAAGAGTGTGGAGCAAGAGTGTCAGGCAAGAGTGTCTCACAAGAGTGTGCCATAAAAGTATCCCACAAGAGTGCCCCACAAGAGAATGCCATAAGAGTGTCACAAAAGATTGTCCCACACCTTTGTCCGAGAAGAGTATCAAGCAAGAGTGTTCTACAAGAGTGGCTTTTAATGCGATCGGGCATCTCCTGTTCGCTTTTCATTGTTCTGTAGGAACCTTTCTTCTACGTGAACTGTTAAAAATGCATTCGGGCTCGTGGCTTCTATCAGGTTTTTTGAGGTTATCAAAGAATGTTCCTTGCATAATTGCATTGCATAATCACAATAATTACACTTGCTTGATTGTTCCTGGTTCCTGTGCAAAGTTGACAATGTTGCTGTATTTTCTAGTTCAGAACTCTTTCTTTTCCTTTTTTCCCATACCAGATTACGTCCCAAGTGGAAGAAGTCATTTGCCGCTTTATGTTTTTCAAACAATTTGTACAACGTGCTGGGAATTGTATGGCTGGAAAAACTTATTCATGGGTTTGACAATTGCCCTGTGCATGGAAGATCATGGAAGGATTGAAACCGACCCATGTTATGATGCCACGCAGCACGTGGCGGATTGGGCATTGGGCATTTTCTTTGTGTTTTGGAAACCAAAATCGAGGACTGTGCCTTGCAGTCCTTGCTATCGTTTGTACCGAAGTGGTCAATAGATGTCAATGGTCGAATTGTCTCGTCCGGGCAGGGTTTTGGTTTGCTGAAAGCACAGCGATGCGATGTCGTTGGTGTTTTCCGTTCACTCGTGTCCATTCCAGAGAAAACATGTGAATCTAGGTGATGACATTATGTAAAAGTCTCGTTTTTGCATGTTGTCTGTGGGGCGGAGGAACATTATGATGTTACCTGTTGTTGCTTCTGAAATGTCGATCTGGTCCTCTTTCTTCATTGATCAGACCTTGTGCCTTTTTTTTAATATTTGAGGATTTTACTAAAAAATCTTGGCCTCTGGGACTCTAATGGACTCCATTGCTCCAGGCCTCTGCTCAACAAGCCTTGGCGGCAAAGCCAACGCTTGTGCGTTTTGGAGCTGTTCGTGGCCCCAGAGTCCTAACAGATTCTCTACAAAGAGCCTCAGAACCCCAAGATTCGTCGTCCGTATCCTATCCTAGCTGGAGCGCCGGTCTCCTAGTAGTCCTGCTGGTCTCCCAACATTTTATTTTTAGCCCGAAGAGTTAGGATTGAGCAAGTCACTCCGAAGAAGTCAAGTCAAGCCGAAGGTTTAGACATTTTGAGACAGGACAGTTTGTTTTGAGTTTGCTTTGATGTGATGAAGTGCCATGTGTGCTCTGAAGGCAGTTCAACCAGGTCCTGGAAGTGGGCACGCAGCCGAAGCAGAGAAGGCCAGGGGAAGCAAGTGGACAAAAGGGACGACAGGGAAGAATCGGCACGAACGGGTGCAAGGTGATGAACTCGGAGAACTGCGCATGACAAAAACAACGTGTATATATATATACTGTGATTTGTGGCATATATGATATATATATAATGTATATGATATATGATATTTATATATGATATATATATGATATATATATGATATATATATGATATATATATGATATATATATCATATATATATATATATCATATATACATATATACTATATATATAAATACAAATTTCATAATGTGTATATATATGTATATATATATATATCACCATGTGTGTATACATATATATATATATATACGCACATATACTTATGTAGAGATATATATATATATACACATCACATAAAGTTCCAGATCCTACGAGGATACATACACAGCTATTACATATGTTTTGACTCTAAAAAAATGTAAAAATTTTCATGAAAATTGTCTAACATAGAGTGAAGATGTCAAGGAAAAGATAGGCGTAGCTCAGCTTAGCTCACAATTTGCTAACGTGTCTCTATCAAGACTGTATCTTTATGTTCATGTACTCATAGATAATGGGAATCTGAGCTGCTCCCTCAGACTCAGACAAAACAATATCATAAGGAGTTTGTAGGAGACAATTCTGAAGTACGAAAACGGTGAGAGTCAAAGGCAGACGCAGCTGGTCAAGCAAATAATATTGCAAAGTAATCGAACTAGTCTGGTGTGCAACCAAAGGATACCCGATTAGCAACAATCCTCACACACGGGCTCCTTGGAAATCTTTCCATGTAAAGGAGTGATGTTCAGCACAGTGCAGTGGTTGGAATTCTACTTCAAGAGACTCGCAAAAACCAGAGCAATCAAACTCGCAGGATTTGCCAAATCACCAGACCAGACTGGACCTTCGGACAAAACTGAGTTTCATGAATGGCCTCGCTGTATTCGGCCACCATGGTTGAACTAGGCTGCTCACGAGAGCAAAATTGCGCGAGAAGCATTGCTGGACTGGGCTCAAGATCGCAGGGGGACTTGGAAGCCGCAATTAATTCCAGGTTCATTCAGGTCTTTGTCATTTTTGACAGACTTTTGTTGTCCTTTGTCAGCGTGGAGCAACTCTTCACTGCAGATACATGGCACATAGGTGATTGTTCAGCGATGTTTGGCCATATTTGCGATTCTTCTCCAAGACACTCTGAGTCGACTTTGCCATGTCTTCGTTATTCTTTGTTGTTCATCGAAATTGCGAAGCTTTAGAAGCCGAGGCCTAGCCCGGCCACGCCCATTGGTGGAGCCGCAGCCGCGATCGCAGACGGCCAGGGTTTAAGTTTCCGGTTGGTATACGATGTTCAAACTGTCAAATATGTTTATTCGATATTTTATCGTATTTTCATTTTTGTTCAAATATGTTCAAATATGTTCAATCTGTCAGAGAGTGTCAGCAGAGAAAGTGCAAACTTCTCAAGACTTGGAAGCTCGATGCTACTCGATGCCATGCTACTGGATGCTACTGGATGCTACTGGATGCTACTGGATGCTACTGGATGCTACTGGATGCTACTGGATGCTACTGGATGCTACTTGCACGTAGTTGATCTTGGAAGGCTTTGCCGGAGGAGCATGTTCAAAACCTTCGAAAAGCTTTGGCTTGGAGAGCATTGTTGGGACTCTCAGGTTTCATGAAGGCAGCTTTGGGAATGTGAACAAAGATGCGAAAAAATATAGGACTGCGACTGCCACATCTGGCGACGTGGAGCAGAGTTGAGAGGATGCATGGACCAGGCTGAAGTTTCAAAGAACACTTCTGACTCACTGATGAGCATGTAAGGCCCAAACAGAGGTTGTCCAGATTCGTGCATGACATTCAAAGCCGTGGCCATTTAACACTTTGCTGGTTATTGATCTTCGGAAGAATCTGCGGCTAATCTTCAACAGATATGCTGACATTCCAGTGTCAAAATCGCTGAAAGCGTATCGGTATAATATCACGAAAGCTAGCGGTAGCTGGCTGGAATTACTCAGAAACAAAAGGGGTAGGTCTGAGTCCAACACAGTGATTTTTCACTCGAACCCCCCCTCCCCAAGCTCCCGGGGCATTTTCAATCGGTGTGGGAAGCAGATGGTCACGGGCTCAAGTCCTGCCAGGTCTCCAGGTAATCTGTATTCAACATATCAAAATCCCATCATGTTTTCACCCCCCCTTGGGCCAAGTATTCTGCCTTGCACAAAAGCACTGTTTCACAGCAAGGCTTCCATTGATCAACCTCTTCGAAGCTGAGCTTGACTTCCAGGGAGTCTTGATCTTACACACCGTTCAAAAGTCTGAAGTTCCAGCTTTAGTTTTGTGTCTTTACAGATTTTGCCCACCCCCCACACACCTCAAGACTTCGAAGATTCTGCCTTCACATACCGAGGTGATGCAAGACTTGTTCGTGTCCATTGATGAAAGTCCTTGGATGTGAGGCCCTAAGCACCATGGTACATATTGCTGTTCTGGGACACGTTTCTTATGTGTTTCTTTTTGCCCCAAATTATGCAGGTGTGACTGAAAGGTGGGAGTGAAGGGTGGGACTGCTGAAGGGTGTGACTAGAGGGTGCGACCGAGGGTGCTGCAGTCGTCCTAGGCGTTGGAAGACTGGAATTTAAGTTTGCATTTATTTTTTTTCTTTCTTGTTGCTATGAGTATGTGGGGTCTGTGGTGGTATCATTGCCAATGGGTCTGGCGATCTTCACTTGATCGAAACACTCGTAGCGCGCCTCTGCCCTGGCCATCCTGGCCGAAAGTCTAAGGCTGAAGATGCTGGATCAACGTCATGCACGAGCTCTTCTGTCGCGTGTGGCACATATTCCGTCGGATTCCAAGCTTTAATCTTTGAGCAAAGAAATAGCAAAGCCCCGGATATATCCGGATACAATCAATGAATCCTAATGCTCGAGACATTTGAGACTGAGGATGTCTTCTGAATGGCCTCCCCCCTGGCTCAAAGCAGCATAAAGCAGCGCAGATCTTATGGCAGATTTCTGCTTGCAGATAGTCCATGCTGACGCTGCGCCAGAAAAGGTACTGCTGAACATTGATGGACTGTCCTGCTGAATGCATTGAGAGATGACTTGGATAGACTTGGACAGCACAAGACTCTGCACTTGGAGATGGCCTGAAAAGCCTGTACTGTAGCAACAGGAGCAGAAGGAGCAACAGAGTTGAACAGGCTCCACAGATCTTGCCAATACAAACATATTATATAGCGCACTATGAATATACGTACGTATATATATATAATTATATATATTACTATATATTCATAGATGTAACATGAGTTCTCTTGTATAGGAGTCTTCAGTAGTCTTTGTTGCGTCACAACAGGGTGAATTTGTGCGCTTCGCTGCACGCGGAAGGGTGTGGAAGCCTCGCGGAAGGAAAGTTTCGCGGAAGCCTCGTGGAAGCTCTATGTTCATATACTATGAAGTTATACGAACCAAGATTAATATACAGTATATGAAAATATACATTTACAAATAATTACTTGTACATATACATGCGTAATATCGTTTTCATCTGCGCAAGGTTTGCGAAAGTGTTGGCAGAAGAGGTTTGTTGCGACAGTGCTGCGACAGTGAGAACTAGGAAGGAAAACATGGAAAAAACTAGACGACGGATGGCCGAGAGTGTAGAGGAGCAGGGTCTTCTCTTGTTAGTATGGAGACACCATATTACAAAACAATATATGAAAGATGTGTTATAGGCAGACGAGAAGAGGAGTATCCAGACAATATAGCACAAGTACAAGACAATAGTTTGCATCGCAAACACTTTTACACACAGAAGCTTTTACACGCAGACGCTTTTACAGACAGACGCTTTTACACACAAACACTTTTACACACAGACACTTTTGCACACAAAAGCTTTTACACACTAACACTTTTACACACTAACACTTTTACGCACAAACACGTTTACACACAGAAACTTTTACACACAGACGCTTTTACACACAGAAGCTTTTACACACAGACCCTTTTACACACAGACGCTTTTACACACAGAAGCTTTTACACACAGACCCTTTTACACACAGAAGCTTTTACACACAGACCCTTTTACACAAAGAAGCTTTTACGCACAGACGCTTTTACACAAAGAAGCTTTTACGCACAGAAGCTTTTACACACAGACGCTTTTACACACAGAAGCTTTTACACACAGACCCTTTTACACAAAGAAGCTTTTACACACAGACGCTTTTACACATAGACGCTTTTACACACAGACCCTTTTACACACTTCGCCGGACAACTTGGAAATCGCAATTTTACCTCAGTTTTTCGCGATCGAACCTCGTTTCGTGCGAAAGGGTTGCGCCGGACAAGTTGAAATCGCAATTTTACCACAGTTTTTGGCGATCGAACTTCGTTTCGTGCGAAAGGGTTGCGCCGGACAAGTTGAAATCGCAATTTTACCACAGTTTTTGGCGATCGAACCTCGTTTCGTGCGAAAGGGTCGCGCCGGACAAGTTGAAATCGCAATTTTACCACAGTTTTTGGCGATCGAACCTCATTTCGTGCGAAAGGGTTGCGTTTCGTGCCGTCTCGTTGGCACTGCCCCTGCCCCCGCCTTCAGAATAGAAATAGAAAAGAAGGAGAGGGCAAGAGGGCAAGAGGAGAAGATGTGAAGATGTGAGGGCAAGAGGGCAAGAGGGGAAAGCAAGAGGAGAAGATGTGAAGTGTGAGGATGAGGAAGAGGTGAAGATGTGAAGATGTGAAGATGAGAAGATGTGAAGATGTGAAGATGAGAGATGTGATGTGAAGATGTGAAGATGAGAAGATGTGAAGATGTGAAGATGAGATGTGAATGTGAGATGATGAGTGAAGATGAGAAGATGAGAAGATGATGAAGATGTGAAGATGAGAAGATGAGAAGATGTGAAGATGAGAAGATGAGAAGATGTGAGGATGAGAAGATGTGAAGATGAGAAGATGTGAAGATGAGAAGATGAGATACAGACCCCCACTATTGGAAGAACCCTGCGCTCAGACGCTCTCGGGAACAACACTCATATGGCAGTCAAGACTCAAGGTGAATTCAGTGATAAACAATTTCTGACACGACCTGTGCATATTGAACGAGTTGGCGCATGTTGTCACTTTTGCCAGACCCGTTCCTGCAGTAGCTGGTCGGGTTGCCGATGTTGTATGGGGGCCTAGCTAGCCGATCCATGAGGACATAGAATGAGGCGACCGAACTTTTGACGGCATGGCCCGGCATGGCCTCAACTTTTCCAAGTGGAGCAGCACAAGAGAAACAAAAAGAGTTTCAAGACACATGCGAAGTTTCACTGTTAGGCACTGTTAGGCTCTAGTCCAAGTTGACTTCGATTCGCTGATTCTGCACCGGGATGCGACATGATATATTCAATTCCCTGTCTCTTCTTGTTAGCACCTCTTCAAATCCGAGCTGGGCTCGTCGTGTTTCTAGGGTCGAGGATTGTCTTGCAGGCCACCATGGTCCACACATGTCCACATTGTAGTAGGTCGAGTAGTGAATTCAGCACGTTGTAGTGAACAGAGTCAATGCCAATGCAATTCGATAGCAAGTTCAAAGTACCGCAGGGAAAGTCCCATAGGGTATCCTTGTGAATAAACAAAGAGTCCTGTCAAGCAGTGCTTCTCAGCCGTTTGGAAGAAGAATCCGGAAGCATTAAGGGTGGCATGATTTCATGTACACGATATGATATTATATAGAATCAAAGGAAGTTGGGAAGGAATCTTCCGAGTTACGGATGACTTTTACTCAATGAAGGGTGGTGTGAAACTTTACATGCATGAAGGGTGGTGTGAGACTTTACATCACATAAGAATACATTCATGAAGGGCGGTGTGAGACTTTACATCACATAAGAATACATTCATGCAGGGCGGTGTGAGATTTTACATCACATAAGAATACATTCATGAAATGCGGCGTGAGACTTTACATCACATAACAATACATTCATGAAGGGCGGTGTGAGACATTACATCACATAACAATACATTCATGAAGGGCGGTATGAGACTTTACAATACATTCATGAAGGGCGGTGTGAAATTTTACATCGCATAACAATACATTCATTTAGGGCGGTGCTGCAAAACGCATTGTAATGGCTGCATGCATGTTGCATGGGGGTTGTGTTGGAAGGAAGCCGGAGCACGAAACCTTGTCTTTTTCCGTGTAAAGCGGCTGCGGCCAGCGATGAAAGTTACCTCGTGTGTGCGGCGGGTGTGGCTGGGGCTGTTTCATCGTCGAATCGGTTCTCCCTTGGTGTTCTGCAACTGCAGGATTGGTGTCACGTTTTGTTGCCATGTGCGTAGAGAGATGCGGGTGAGCCACATGATGTTGCAAAACACATTGTAATGGCTGCATGCATGTTGCATGGGGGTTGTGTTGGAAGGAAGCCGGAGCCGAAACCGTGTGTTTTCCGTGTGAAGTGGCTGCGGCCAGCGATGAAAGGTACCTCGTGTGTGCGGCGGGTGCGGCTGGGGCTGTTTCATCGTCGAATCGGTTCTCCCTTGGTGTTCTGCAGCTAGTGGTTGTTCGTGTGTGCGTAGTGATAGGGTGTTTTGGAAGTTTTGGTGGCAGATCGCAATGGAATGGCTGCATGATTGGTGTTACGTTTTGTTGCCATGTGCGTATAGAGATAAGCGTTTGCCACGTGATGCTGCCAAGCGCATTGTGATGGCTGCATGAATGTTGCATGGGGCTTGTTCTGGGGAGGAAGCCGGAGCACGAAACAGTGTGTTTTTCTGTGTAAAGGTGGGCGCAGCCGGCGATGAAAGGTACCTCCTGTGTGCGGCGGGTGCGGCCTGGATGGTTTCAACGCGTAATCATGCGTAATCGGTTCTCCCTTGGTGTTCTGCAACGCGTGGATGCGAATCGCATTGTTATTGTAACGGCTGCATGGATGTGTACGTGGTGCTGCAAAACGCATTGTAATGGCCGCATGCGTTGTGTTTTTTCCGTGTAAAGTAGCGCTGGTGGTTTTCCTTTTAAAGTTCCTTTTAAAAAGTGTTTCAAAATTCTGTTTTTTTCTGCTTCGGCGCCGAGATCCGGTTTTGGATGCGCAAATTTTCACACGGTTGCGCAAGTTTTGCAGTACAATCGAGTACTGGGACATACTTTGGGCAAGCTTTCGGTACAAAGTAGTACTGTGAAGTACTTTGTGCAAGCTTTGTAGTACAAAGTAGTACTGGGAAGTACTTTGTGCAAGCTTTGTAGTACAAAGTAGTAGTGGGAAGTACTTTGTGCAAGCTTTGTAGTACAAAGTACTACTGGGAAGTACTTTGTGCAAGCTTTGTAGTACAAAGTAGTACTGGGAAGTACTTTGTGCAAACATTGTAGCACAAAGTAGTACTGGGAAGAACTTTGTGCAAGCCTTGTAGTACAAGGTAATGCTGAGATGTACTTTGTGCAAGCTTTGTAGTACAAAGTATTACTGGGAAGTACTTTGTGCAAGCTTTGTAGTACAAAGTAGTACTGGGAAGTACTTTGTGCAAACTTTGCAGTACAAAGTAGTACTGGGAAGTGCTGTGTGCAAACTGTGTAATGCAAAGTAGTGCTGGGAAGTACTTTGTGCAAACTTTGTAGTGCAAAGCAGTACTGGGAAGTACTTTGTGCAAACTTTGTAGTACAAAGTAGTACTGGGAAGTACTTTGTGCCAACTTTGCAGTACAAAGTAGTACTGCGAAGGGCTGTGTGCAAACTTTGTAATACAAAGTAGTACTGGGAAGTACTTTGTGCAAACTTTGTAGTGCAAAGCAGTACTGGGAAGTACTTCGTGCAAACTTTGTAGTACAAAGTAGTACTGGGAAGTACTTTGTGCAAACTCTGTAGTACAAAGTAGTACTGGGAAGTGCTTTGTGCAAGACTTGTAGTACAAAATAGTACTGGGAAGTGCTTTGTGCAATCTTTTTAGTACTGGGAAGTGCTGTGCGCAAACTTTGTAGTACTAAGTAGTACTGGGAAGAACTTTGTGCAAGCTTTGTAGTACAAAGTAGTACTGGGAAGTACTTTGGGCCAGCTTTGTAGTACAAAGTAGTACTGGGACGTGCTTTGTGCAAGCTTTGTTTGTAGTGCAAAATAGTACTGGGACGTGCTTTGTGCAAGCTTTGTAGTACAAAGTAGTACTGGGGAGTGTCTTGTTCAAGTCTTGTAGTAAGAAAATATAGTTGCTCGCTCTAGCTTGTGTTGCAGCAAGTGCCATTTGACGTAAAGAAGTTAAGGTGCGCTCGGACGCGATGAACGTAGCTGAGAAGAACTTAGGCGACATCTGCGAAAAAAGGAGATGTGATGACAAGATCTGAAACGAGGTCAGATTGGGTGAGAAGAGCTCATTTGAGATGAGTTGAGATGAAGTATGAAGTTGAGATGCAACGTGAAGGGTGAAGTCTAAACTTTGGAGCGCAAAGCAGTGCTCGGCGTTGCATTGCATCGGGGCCGCGCGCAGGTCGTGTTCTTGGACAACAAACATGCATGCACGGGCCTGGCTGGCGCACGGCGCATGCAAATTCTATAAATGAGAAGGGTCTTATAGTATATCCCTAAGGCAACTTCCGCCCCGCCTCGAGCGGGCACTAATGGTATTTTATTTTTGCATATTACACATATGTATGTGTTTTTTTGTATCCGTTTTTTCCTGTGCAACTTCTCAGCTCGGACATCACGGGAAAAAGGGGGTTGAAAATGACTGGACATTGACCGAATAACGTGATAAGGCTGTGGACCCTATCAAGGTACCTTTGCGCAGAGCCTAGAAATGCAATGGACAGACCTAAACAGTTTGGTGCAAAGAATACTCACACGATTTTATTGGAGTATCATGAGATACACACTTGAATTTTCAAACAAACCGCAGCTATAAACTTGAGGAATATGCAGCAGAAAGCTGACTTCAAAACAATTCAAAATATGGATTTTCAAGTATAGGAACCTTTCAAAACCAGAATGTTAGTGCGCGGAGTTGGAAACACACCTGTGATGCTACTTCTGCAGTCGTTTGTAAAGACGTTGGTAGAAACGAATGGGAAGACTTCAGTTGTTCAATGATGCTCAACGATGTTCAATGATGTTCAAAGTGTTGAAAGTTCCAGTGTCTCACGTTTCTGATTTCTGAGGTGCAGTCGCCAGATAGCGGACGAAGAGTGTGACCTGGCCATGGTCAACGGAGAGCTGAAGGTCGGCGAGGCGCATCTTGAGATACCTCGAATGATTCGAATGATTTTTTTTGTCCATCCTCCATCTTTTTGGTGCCTTTTTGCACATGGTTTTTCTTTGATTCATGATTTGCATCCGCAGAACAATCCTTGAGTTTTGATAAATTTTGAACAAAGCTGAACCCGTGCGATCATGTTTTGCAATTTTTGCATGCCTTTCTCAATGTTTTCAATCTTTCATCTTCAAAAGAATCAGTTGCAGGCGGACTTGGATCTTTCCCCGCCATACTTCACCGGCTGCAAGCACCCCCTTCTAAAGGAAGAGCTTCGTCCAGGGTTTCTGGGCCAAAGTTGATTCAAGTTCTGCTTGGCTTTTGCAAGATTGAAACACAGCGATACTATTTCTGCCAGAGTTGAGCAGCAAGGGAATCAAACCAAGATATCTGCATAGAGTTCTGCCAGAATTTGCATTGGAGTTGGAGCCGTTTCGTCGTATCTTTGAAATTTCTGCTTTGCTCCTAGGGCTGCAAAGAAAGTCAAAGCCATTGACTCAGCTTGAAGCAACCTCACTTTGCATCAGCATGCGGATGAGAAACCTCAGTGTAAAGTTTATATGGGTGTGTCTGAATCACTCGTCATCACTCTCATCGCTTTCCCTTCGCCCTTCATTGAATTTCAGATACACCGATGCATTTTAAGACACATTGATGTACGGATGTACCTCTCTTGTCCTGGAAGGTCTCTCCAGACCTCAGTAGGTCGCCATTGAAGTTGGGGATGTGACCGATGTGACCATATGTAGCACGTTCTGGCACAGAATTATGAAGGCAACTGGCAAAAGAGTTGAGTATAGTTGAATTGAAACGGGTGAGGATGATACATTGCTACTGTAGCGTGGCCAGCAAGAAGATATGCGTAACTTATGTGAGACAGAAGCAGCAACGATATTTGATGTATATATATATAATATTATTATTGTATGTATCTGATATACAGTATACATATACTAAATAGAATTATGTATGTTTATCATTTTATCCTTTACTTGTTTCATAATATGGGATTCACCCAGCAAGACTTCCCATTGAAAAAATCATTTGTGCGAACCACAATTAGCTTACTGGCTAAGCGACCTCTGACACCTGTAGCCTTGGCCGCACAACACGGGGAATTCCAAGTTTAGGCCACAACAGATGGGTTTCAGGGAATGTGTTTGACAAAGGGTTAGACATAAAACTTGAAGGTGGAGGCTTGAGGATATCGAAGATATTCCCCAGAATCCTGCAAACACTGGAACGCAGCAGACGCAGCACCACCTAGCCATGCGCTTGGCGCCAGTGCCGTTGGGGAACGCAGATCCTGAATGGCAGCCGAATCGGACAGAGACTGAGGCAGAAGCCTACAACGGTGGCTCAAGGCAGCGATGGCAGAGACAGATGTTCAAAGGCATCAAAGGCTAAGGAAAGTAAGGAACAGCAAAACTGTTGAGCAAAGCAGAAGACAGAGACAAATTTGAAGAACAAAGGAGCAAGATTTGCCTGAGTATAGGTAGTGCAGAATGCAGAGTCATATGATGTCAGGATAGGAACGCATATTTGAGTCTTGGGTGATTTCGGAGAAAGCATTTGTTGCCACGATTGAAAGTATGAATCTGGTTGGATATGTTGGGACGCTGACCGGAGTGAGCAGTTGATTCCCAAGGAGCTTTGAAAACGGTATATATTGCTTGTTTCCATATTTGTGCATTTAGAATTAGATGCACTTAAACATATCATTTCAACATCAACTCTGATGGTCAGCTGCGATGTCGGCAAGTTTGGAGCGCAAACGGAAAGACAGCAATCAAAGGTTTGTTAATGAGTTGATCCTAGATTCCAGATGATACCATGTAGATTCCATCCAATTTTTCAACAGTTGGCCTTTGTATGCCTTTGTTGGTCTTTTGGAGGAAATGTGTTTGGGCGATGATGCTGATCTCCATTCTGCTGATTCTTCACGTGCAAAGGGATCGATACATAGAGGCTTTGCGTTGGCACGGCGGCATCGCAGATCATGGGCCACCGTTGCCTTGGGAAGTGCAGCCCATCATTTTGCCCAACGACACTTATGAGGCAGCCGCGACCAGAATCTGCCAGAATGTTTTGGGACGTTGGTGCTCATTTCAGACATTTCATCTGATTTGGATCCCATTTTGGAATATTTTGGATTCATGTGGTCTTATTTCAGCTCATTTCATCTTGTTTTCTCCAGTTTCAGCCCGTTTCAGCTCATTTCCCCCTATTTCAGCTCGTTTCATCTCGTTTCGTCTCGCTTGATCTTGTTTCATCTCGCTTGGTCTCATTTGATATCGCATTATCTCGATTTATCATGATTTATCTTACTTCACCTCATTCCATCTCAGTTCATCTCAGCTAATTAGCTTATTTCATCTCATTTCATCTGGTTTGATCTTGCTTCATCCCGTTTCATCTCGTTGTCTCCTTTGATCTCGCTTTATCTTAGTTGCTCTCACTTCATCTCGTTTTATCTCGGTTCGTCTCGCTTCATCTCATTTATCTCGCTATTTGTCTCTCTCTCTCTCTCTCTCGCTCGCTCGTTTTGTCTCGGTTGATGTCTTTTCACACCATTTCGTCTCATTTCATCTCATTTGATCTCATTTACATTCATTTGCTTAATCTCGTTTCGTCTCGGTTAATCTCATATCCGCATATTTTCTCGTGAGGAATAGACAAAGTTTGGTTCAGCAGTTGTGGAATGGTTTGTCATTGCCCTTGACGGATCAATTTTGATTGCCCTCTAGAAATCATTCGTGCTCAATCCATATTCTAGTTGTCCTGCAACCCTTCCCTCCCCACCATTTGTCCACTTTGAAACATGCAGGGAAGGACATAGGGAGCCTCTTGAAACCCACGGTTAGGAGGAGCAGTTTGAAGCACACGGATTTTGAAGAACTCTGTTGAAATTCAAAAAGTTTACTGAATAGCTGTGCTCTGATTCCTGGATGGTGTGCGATGTGTGCGCTTCAAGAGACCCTTAAGATTTCCCAAGTCTTGATAGTCTTGCTTGACGTGCACATTGTGCATCCTGGTGCAAGGCCAGCTTCTTGGCCCCGAGTTTGCGTCGAGCATCCAGCTTCGTGAAATTATCTTCCTCTGTCTTGGCCGTGAATGGCATGGCTAGTAGCATTTTTACCAACTCCTCGAGGTCATTTGACATGAATTCCCATGAAAACTGGAAAACTTAAACTTCACACACTGCTGACACAGACACAATGCAAGGAAGCGAATAAACCAAACACCGTCAAACACCATACACTTTCTACTATCTATCTTTCTCCGTGATTGTAGGCTTGAGTTAGGTGATTTGGCCAATTTGGGGAATAAACCTTGTTCATCACTATCAAACATTGATGTTCTTTGTGTTTTCTTGCTACATTGAAGCCAGCTTGAGTTGCTTGATGCAACGGCTGCGGAGCACAGGAGTGAGAGCGACAAGAGCATCACCATGGTGGTTGGCTCAGGGACCTTAGACTGCATGGAGGTCGGGAGCTAGCCAACGCTGTGTGGGCACTGAGTTGGCAACGATAGATGCACTAATAATATTTCATTAGCTTCAGCATTAATGCTGATCTGGGGTAGGTCCTCCAAGATTGACATGCGAGTCAGAATCAAAAATCATTCTGGAACATGCTGCTTAGCCGGTTAGACTTTAAACTGCAAAGATCCTACCTCTTGTCGCTTTGATACATCTTGGACAGGCGAAGAAGCCGTGCTTTGTTGCTGTGCAGGGCGAGCCCCTCCAGGACCAAAACTGCTATCACTTTGCCACTGGTTCAGCCTTTGACGATTTGAAATCGCATGGGCAAGACTTGTGTCTCAGGACGGGTTTGAAAAATGCAGAAATGGAATGTACTTAGTGTACTTGCTTGGCACGGCTTCGGGAGCACGAGCACGTAGATCAGAAACGGACATAATTGAAATACACCATAATCAACCCACACTACCAGACATTATATAAGGATTTGGTTTGGGATGTTTGGAGGTGAGAGTATGGACATCCTTAGCTGGGGCACAGTACGAAGATCCAAGCCCATCCAAGCCCATTGTTCTTCTTGAAGTGCTAGGTCCAAACAGGTGTATGCGGCTCTAGCCACCCGAGCCACGGCGAATCAGTCAGAGGTGAGGGCTGTCAGTTTTTTCACTTTGAGATTCTTTGAGGTTTTGAGGAATCTGCCAGTATTTGAAATTACGCTTCATTTCAAAGATCAGGTGTTCCTTTCGCGGGGAAACTTGACACGCTCCAAACTCCCAATGTTGAAACAAAATGAGTGGCAGCTTTGCAAATCAAATCATTTCAACCTGTCTCTTTCGCATCTGGTTTCTTTCAATTTGTCTAAAGCATTTAGCATCCATCCCTTGACATGTTCGGGGCAAATTCTGCATTTTTTCAATTTGTGCAGGTGGTTTTGGCCTGGGACCCGATTCATGGAGAAAGTTCTCGGCCCTATTCTTGCCTCGCACGCGTAACATTCCCGGGCATGCAGCTCTTGAACAGTCTGGCTGTGGACTTGGTTGCCTCGGTGATCTACGACCATGTCGCTTCACTGGGCACGTGCCCGCACACGCACACACACACACACATTCACACTCATTCACACTCATTCACACTCATTCACACTCATTCACACTGACAGTCATTGACAGGTCTGACAGGTCTGACAGGTCTGACAGGTTACGGCGACGGGATGGTGTGAGAGTTGCATCAACTTGTTATGATTTTTCATAGACTTGTCATATACGTCTCGTAGACTTCAGATCTTCAGAAGGAAAGGGTGTTTTCTTGCAGGGCTTTCTGTCACACTTTCCGCTTTTAGCTCAGGTTACCGACTCGATCATCACCCTGGGATTTTCTGGTTCCCAGACCATCATTGCAGATCAATACCAAGCCTCAACGTTGAGGCCTCAACTCAGGACCGAAAGGGCGAAGAGACGCTTTCTCCAAACTGCGCACGGCAATACACGGCATGCTATGGTACAAAAAGTATCTATTTCTGTCCGCCCCTGGACACCTTGTGAAGCATAGCTTGAAGTCCTTTCTCAACATTCTCAACTCTTCATGCGTTTTGAATAGTTTTTGAAATAGAAGTTGAATGCCAGTGTTGCCAGTGTTGCCAGTGTTGCCAGTGTTGCCAGTGTTGCCAGTGTTGCCAGTGTTGTATGTCCTGTAATTGTGACTTTGACAACTCAGCCCTGACCCCTGAGAGGTATTCCATTCCGATTTCTGTCACATGGCTGCTCCACGCGCCCAAGATGTCTGATGGATATTTGCTTTTCCTGGGCTCTGAAACTCCGTTTGTTGGCAGCATTTTTGCCGTGGACTTGCGCCGTCAGATGATCTACCAGCAAGATCCTCCAACAGCAGGACCAAGTCAGAGGCCACGTCGCTGGGTGCTTCCCTACAACAAGTTTGTGGAGCGCTTGCCTGAAAATCCCGCCATGGCTTCAAAGCAAAGTGTCTTGCTCAGTTGCCGATGTGATCCAATGAAAGCAAATGATCTTGCAGATCTAGCAAAACACCGAAGACGTCCCAAGAACTTCCAAAACTGCAAACTATTAACGAATAGCTGGACTTGTTCACTCTTGGGACCAAATTCTGGGGCGCATGAGTCTGAAATTTTCTCTCAGTGGCTCAAGCTCGCATTTTGGCTTGAAAAGATTCGTTGATTCGTTTAAGCGGCCATCAGCCATGGCGGAGCATCCAAAGCTAGGAGTGCGACTGAACAGGATTTGTTGCATCGGTGCTGGCTATGTGGGTGGACCTACCATGGCAACCATTGCTTTGAAGTGCCCTCAACTGGAGGTGGTGATTGTGGACATGAACGAAGATCGCATCAAGCGGTGGAACAGCGATGAACTGCCGATCTATGAACCCGGTCTGACGGAAGTGGTGAAGGCATGCCGTGGCAAGAATCTGTTCTTCTCGACCGATGTGAAGAAAGGAATCGAGGAGGCGGACATCATCTTCGCTTCTGTGAACACTCCCACCAAGACACAAGGTGTGGGGAAAGGACGCGCAGCAGATCTGCGATTCATCGAAAGTGTGGGCCGCACCATCGCGCAATATGCCAATCGCAGCAAGATTGTTATTGAGAAATCCACCGTACCCATCAAGACAGCTGAAGCCATTGCCCGTGTGTTGTCAGCCAATGAAGCTGCCGCAGGCGGCAGTAAGAACTTTTGGATTTTGTCGAACCCTGAGTTCCTAGCAGAGGGCACAGCCATGAAAGACTTGGACGAACCAGATCGAGTGCTGATTGGTGGACAAGATCAGGATGCAATTCAGGTGTTGGCCGATGTGTATGCCAACTGGGTCCCGAGGGATCGAATCCTGACTACCAACCTCTGGAGTTCGGAGCTGTCGAAATTGGTTGCCAACGCTATGTTGGCCCAACGTGTCAGCAGCATCAATTCCATCTCTAGGTTGTGTGAGCGAACTGGAGCAGATGTGAAGGAGGTAGCGCGTGCCATTGGCACAGATTCCCGGATTGGGCCAAAGTTCCTCAATGCTTCAGTGGGCTTTGGTGGATCTTGCTTCCAGAAGGACATCCTGAATTTGGTCTACATTTGCCAGCAGTTTGGCCTAGAGGAGTGCGCTGCATATTGGCAGCAGGTGGTGGACATGAACGACTATCAGAAGACAGCCTTCACTAGCAAGATCATCCAGTCTCTCTTCAACACAGTGACCAAGAAGAAAATCGCCGTTCTTGGCTTCGCCTTCAAAAAGGACACAGGTGACGTGCGCGAGACTCCGGCCTTGATGGTCTGTGATATGCTGATGAAGGATGGCGCCATAGTGCATGTCTATGACCCCAAGGTGGTCATAGAAGATGCCTTGACAGAGTTCAAGTATCATGACCTGGAAGTCAATACGAATCAACTTATCTTCTCCAAGAGTCCACAGGAGGCTTGTGATGGTGCGCATGCTATCGTCGTCCTGACAGAATGGGACGAATTCAAGACCTATGACTACAAGAGCTTCTACGACAAGATGATGAAACCAGCATTCCTCTTTGATGGCCGCAACATGTTGGATCATGCAGCCCTGGTGGACATCGGATTTGAAGTGCACGCGCTCGGCAAGGGACAGATCAAAAGTTCCGGAGGTCAGTCACAGATCCCAGACTTTGTGACTAGAGCTGGAAGTGGTCTCCTGTCTGGTGGCTATTCTCCATAGTATGCCAAGGACATGGATGACATGGTGCTTGACCTGTCCAAGTTGTGGAGTTGCAGCTTGTACATTAATCCCCGTCTCATGAATGCAGAGACTTCCCCAACAATCGATTTGATCAGTGTTCCCTGCTGCATTGTTTCACCATCGGCGCAGCAGATGGCCATTTGTGGCCAGAAGGACAAGGGAAAAATGCAGGAGCAAGTTTCTCTCAGTTGCCGTCCATGTTTATGCTGTTACTAGGGTCTTGGCTTAGTCGCATCTTCTTGTTGAAGTCGCATCTTGATTGGTGCCCGCCATACAAAACACAGTTTTACTCGAATCTTGTGATTTGATATTTGTCGAAGGAAGTTTAGAAGTCGAAGTTCCGACAATATGGACAGATGAAGAGTCAGAGAAGAGAAGAAGAAGAAGAAGAAGCAGAAGAAGAAGAAGACGAAGAAGAAGAAGAAGAAGAAGAAAGAAGATGCAGGTGCGCGAAAAGGTAGAAAAGTCGTGATCCACTGTGTTTTCCAATGATTTGTGGTTCTGGAGGGTCGAAAAGTAGGTTCGCTAAAGCGGCGGGTGCGAAGCCATCTGGCCAGATGAGAGATGAAGGATTGCACGCCGTTGTGGCGCGAAGCACATTTCGAAGTCAACATGTACACAGCACACCAACTTCGGGCCACTTTTGGAAGTTGACATGTCGAAAAAGTGCACACCGTTGTGGCGCGAAGCACATTTCGAAGTCAAAAGTGTTAAAAATTGAAGGGTTCGGAGATGTTCGGAGCATTTTTGGAAGTTGAGATGTTCCCAACAGCGATAGTGTTGGGTTTCAATCTCTGGGGCCGGGGAGTGGTGCCACGAAAATGTACGCCCCGAAAAACCGGAACAGTCTGGAACCTTGCTGGAACCTTGCTTGCAACCTTGCTGCAACCTTGCTGGAACCTTCCCGGAACCTTGCTTGCAGCCTTGCTCCAACCTTGCTGGAACCTTGCTGGAACCTTGCTTGCACCTTGCTGGGACCTTGCTGGAACCTTGCTGGAACCTTGCTGGAACCTTGCTTGCAACCTTGCTGGAACCTTGCTTGCACCTTGCTGGAACCTTGCTGGCACCTTCCCGGAACCTTGCTGGAACCTTGCTTGCAGCCTTGCTCCAACCTTGCCGGAACCTTGCTGCAACCTTGCTGCAACGTTTTTGGAACCTTCCTGGAACTTTGCTGGAACCGTCTTAGAACTATCCCGGAACCTTCGCGGAAGCGTGCTGGAACCATGTTGGAATTCTGCCGGAACCTTGCCGGAACTTTGCCGGAACCTTGTTGAAACTCTGGCTGGAACCTCTTGGAACCATCTTGACAGCACGTTGGGAAACTATTGTTGCGCGTCGTTTTGGTGCTTGTTGTATCCGCTTTGGGTTTTCCCCCACATCTTTGTGTGGGGTTCTTGTTTTGATTCTGTATCCCGCTCCTCCTCCTCCTCCTCGTCCTCCTCCTCCTCTGCCGCCTCCCTGTCACACACAACGTTGTCACACACCATCTTTCACACAAAACTTTGTCGCACACCATCTTTCACACACTACTTTGTCACAACTTTGTCACACACCTCTTTTTCACACACAACTTTGTCACATACAACTTTGTCACATACAACTTTGTCACGCACCCTCTTTCACACACAACTTTGTCCCACACCATCTTTCACACACGACTTTGTCACACACAACTTTGTCACATACACACCGCTTTGTCACATACAACTTTGTCATTGTCACACACCATATTTCACACACAACTTTGTCACACACCATCTTTCGCACATACAACTTTGTCACGCACAACTTTGTCCCACACCATCTCTCACACACAACTTTGTCACATACAACTTTGTCACACACACACACAACTTGGTCACACACACCATCTTTCACACACCGTCTTTCACACACAACATGGACGTAGCATTTGCGTAGCAGGCGTGGCACGTAAGACACTGGGCTGCCTCTCGTGGCGCTTGGGCGCCGTTGGTCGCCCATGGCGCCGCGGCACTTTTCGTGGCAGGCGTGGCGCTTGTCGACATGGACGTAGCATTTTGCGTGGCAGGCATGGCCCTTGGCGACATGGACGTAGCATTTGCGTGGCAGGCGTGGCACTTGTGGCTCTCCTGGCGCGCTTGGGCGCCGTTGGTCGCCCGTGGCGCCGCGGCACTTTGCGTGGCAGGCGTGGCACTTCATCCCCCTGCACTTTGCGTGGCAAGCACGGCACTTATGACACTGGGCTGGCTCTGGTGGCGCGCTTGGGCGCCGTTGGTCGCCCGTGGCGCCGCGGCACTTTGCGTGGCAGGCGTGTCGCTTGGCGACATCCACCTGCACTTTGCGCGTGGCAGGCGTGGCACTTGGCGACATGGACGTAGTATGCGTGGCAGGTGTGGCACTTGTGATAGTGGGCTGGCTCTGGTGGCGCGCTTGTGCGCCGTTGGTCGCCTGTGGCGCCGCAGCACTCTGGGTGGCAGGCGTGGCGCTTGGGGACATGGACGTAGCATTTTATGTGGCAGGCGTGGCGTTTGGCGACATAGACGTAGCATTTGCGTGGCAGGGGCGGCGCTTATCACACTGGGCTGGCTCTGGTGGCGCATCTCCTGCACCAAGCGACGCGATGTTGTCTGTCACCTTGTTGGCCGAGGGTGCGGGAAGACGCGAGTACCAAGCAATGCACAATGTGGTCAGGCTGCGTCAAGTGGGAGGCTAGTTTGTCACAGACAATCTTTGACACGCACACACACAACTTGGTCACATATAGTCTTTCACACACATAATTTTGTCACGAGCATCTTGCACACAGAACTTTATTACACAACTCTCCACATACGATCCTCCACCACCCCCTTTGTCTTTCCTTCCGTTCCCGTCCCGCTTCAACTTTTGTTTCTGCTTGTCGGAAGAAGTTGACTTCTGGAACCATGTTGGAGCTTTTGTGTTTCCGCTTTGCTTATGGTCTGGTGCCTATATATTTTGGGCCCGAAGACAGGTTTTAGAGTTTTCTGTGTTTTTTGTTTTGTTGTTTGCTTCGTTTCAATGATTCTTCCTTTGCTTATATAATGTGTTGGGCTGTTACAAAGCACTTGGGGGCAGCACACTTAAAAATGAAGATTCTTTGAACCTTGGTGGAATGCTTTACTGTTCCCAACTGCCCAACAGCCATTCTCTTGGATTTCAATCTTTTAGCGGGGGCAGTGCCTGCATGCTCCGGAAAGCCCAAACACTTGCTAGAACCTCCTCGGAACCCTGCAAGGAACTCTGCTGGACCAAGGGACCTTGGTGCAACCTTGCTGGCACTCTGCTGAACCTGCAGGAACCTTGCTGGAAAGTCGCTCAAATCTTGCCGGAACCTTGCTGGAGCCGTGCTAGAACTTTGCTCGAACCTTGCTGGAGCCCTGCTAGCTGGAACCTTGCTGGAACCTTGCTGGAACCTTGCTGGAAAGTCATTGGAACTTTGCTGAAACTTTGCTTGATCCTGGCGAACCCTTGCTGGAACATGGTGAAACCTTGCTGGAACCTCACGGGCATTTTCTTTTTTTTTGGGGGGGGGGCGGGCAATCAAAGTTGCTGAAACTGTGATGCTGGAACCTTTCTGGAACCCTGGCATGAACCTTCCTCTCCAGAGCTCCAAGGTAGCAAGGTCACGGGGCAAAGTTCCAAGCTTGCACCAAGGATCCCCCAAGGATTCAGGTTGCCAAGGATTTATTCACGATTGCAGGGTTCCAAGATTTAAAGCTTTCAGGGTTCCAAGATTCCATCGTCTATCGCTCCAGGTTTTTCAGGGTTCCATGGTTCCAGGATTTAATCACACATGAAGCAGCTCCACACATTAAGGCAAAGAAACATGCAAACTAATGAAACAAAACTCAGACAAAATCTGCAAGTTTTGTTAAGGTGTCCGGAAAAGTTCCTGCAAGACTTCCTACAAGGAATTCTCGCGAGGCATTCCTGCAAGGGCTCCAGCAAAGGGTTTCTGCTCTGGAACTCTGGAACCCCTAACTCTGAAAGCTTTGAAACCGTGGAAGCCTGCAACCTTGGATTCCTGGAGCTTTGGAACTTTTGAATCATGGAACCCTGCAACCTTAGAATTCTGCAACCCTGGGGCTCTAGAACCCTGGAACCCTTGGCCCTTTGCAAGTCTGGAACCTGCACTGGGAACCCTCAAGCTTTACCTGAAACAATATGAGTCCCTTGGTCCATTGAATTTTGAAATCAGGAAACTTGGAGTGTTGGAAGTATGAGCCTCTAGGGTCATGGACTTGTGGAACCCCAAACTTGGTCTCTTGCAATCTTAGAGCCTTGGTACCCTGCCTGGAAACCGAGAACCCTGTGAAAAACTTTGAACCTTTCACCTTGTGAAACTGTAGGGCCACACTGCCCACATTGTGTTCTGTAAATAAACTGAAGCAGCTCTATTGTGTTTTGCGTTTGCTTTGCATTGCGCTGGTCATTTGTTGCTGATGCATCAAACCAAGACCCTTACAAGTCTGGAACCTTGATGCTTGGAACTTTGAACTGTGGAAACTTGGAGCCTGAGAATCCTGGTAATCTAGAAGTCTGGACTGTAACCTTGGAATTCCCCAAATCTGCAACCTTGCAATCCTGGAAACCTGCAACTGTGGAATCTTGGAACCCTGCCGAATTTTGGAACCTTGCCTGATGACATTGCAGCCTTGGAACCCTGGAACCTGCTGTTGGGTTGCAAAGCTGGGTTAATTGAAAAAGTGCACCCCGTTGTGGCGCGAAGCACATGTCGAAGTCAAAATGTACAAAGCATCTCAGCCTCGGAGCACTTTTGGAAGTTCAGATGTCGAAAAAGTGCATGCCGTTGTGGTGCGAAGCACGTTTCGAAGTCAGATGCAAAAAACACCACATGTTCGTGCCATTTTTGGACGTTGAAGTGTCGTTTCGCGTGGCAGACGCAAGGGATTCTGCACCCTGCTATAAGCGAGCAAAACGTGACGGTTTTGTAGCATTTCCAAAAACGATGGCTGGCGTGGGACGTTTGAAGAGGATCTGGAAAAATGCATTTCGCCTGGCAGGCGCAATACAAGAGACATGTTCATCAGAGATGTTAGAAGGTCAGGGTGCTGATTTCCTGAGAGGGGTTGCATTTTGGAGCATCAGATCTTCAGGTTTGCTAAGATGATTTTGCGTGACAGGTGCAGCACTTCGAATGATCTGGCATCACTTTTTCGTGCCAGGCGCAATAGTTTAGACAGATGGAATGGAAAGATCGCAAAACGCATTGGCACGAAGCCGTCAGCTCTGCACTCAACTTTCCATTTTTGAAGGAAGTCTCGCAGAATTGCTTCGTTTTTGATGTTGTCAACTTCGAAAATTGAGGAAGTCTCGCAGAATAGCTTCGTTTTTGACGTTGTCAAGATCAATAATTGAGGAGGTCTCGCAGAATTGCTGCGTTTGTGATGTTGTCAAGTCCAAAAACTGAGGAAGTCTCATAGAATAGCTTCGTTTTCAAGCTTGCAGATAGATAGATAGATAGATCGATAGATCGACAGATCGACAGATCGACAGATCGACAGATCGACAGATCGACAGATCGATAGATCGATAGATCGATAGATAGATCGATAGATCGATAGATCGATAGATCGATAGATCGATAGATCGATAAATCGATCGATCGATCGATCGATCGATCGATAGATAGATAGATAGATAGACAACTACAACTGCAACTACAACTGCAACTACAACTACTACACTACACTACTACTACTACGATTGCAATATAAACTACGCTACATTACACTACGCTAACTACCCTACACTACACTAATTACATCTAATTACACTGCACTGCACTAATTGCACTACAACTGCAACAACACTACTGCACTACACTGCACTAATTACACTGCAGCACACTACAAATAAAAAATACACATGCAACTACAACTACATTACATTACACAACGCTGCGCTACACTAATTACATTAAATTACACTACAACTACAACTACAATTGCAACTACCACTAAATTGCACAACACCACGCTACGCTAATTATTTTACACTACACTACAACTACAGCTACGCTACCTTATGCTACCCCGCACTAGACTACACTACACTATACCACACTACAGTTCACAACACTAGAGTACACTACAATACACACTACACTAATTACACCACGCCACAACTACAACTGCAACTGCCACTGCAGCTACACTACACTAATTACACAACATTACAACTACAACTCCACTACGCTGCACTACATTACAACTACAACTACAACTACAACTGCACTACACCACACTACATCCAGCAGTTGCGGTGAGGTGACCCCTGGAAACATTGCAGTCGCTCCAAAAAACACAACTCCAACCACCTTTCGGTCCATCAGTGTGCCATCCTTGATTCGCAACAACCAGGCTCTCCTATAGGTTTCCTAATTGAAACTTCAGCCACCGCCTTGTGCGGTACTACTGGTACTAAATCATACATGATTACCGTCTTACCAGCGCGCCAGCTCGCTTTTCATGGTTGACCTAGTTCCATAATTGACTTTTATCCTCGTGTAAGTTTTTTTGCCCCAGATGGCGAAGCTATTGGGGTTATTACTTCAAGTATAGGCAGAGTTGCGTGTTTGCGTTTTGGAACTGGGTTGCTGGTGCCGTTGCAGGGTGCCGCTGCAGGGCGCCTGCTGCTGTCAGAGTGCTGTGTGCACTTTGGAGCTTGGTTGCTGCAAGCAAGGTGCTGTTAGAGTGCTGTTTGCGCTTTGGGGCTTGGTCGCTGCAGGGTACCGCTGCAAGGGGCTGCTGTCGGAGTGCTGTGTGCACTGGAGCTGGGTTGCTGGTGCAGCTGCAGGGGTGCCTGCAGGGTGTCGCTGCAAGGTGCTGCTGTCAGAGTGCTGTTTGTGCTTTGGAGCTTGGTTGCTGCAGGGTGCCGCTGCAAGGTGCTGTATGCGCTTTGGAGCCTGGTTGCTGGGGTGCTGCAGGGTGTTGCTGGAGGGTGCTGCTGGAGCTGGTGCTGCTGGTGGCAAGCTTCGCCAGGTGCTGTCCTGTCCAGGTGCAGAAGGGCTTTGGTGGGTTGGTATTCCTTTAAGCCTCGATTTGGCCTCGTTTTGGCTGCGTTTCTTTTTGCCTATGCTGCGGCTGCGGTGGTGCTGCGAGCAGCACAAGCAGCAAAAGCAGCCCAAGCAGCAGAAACAGCAACGCACAACCAGCAGCACCAGCAGCACCAGCAGCACCAGCAGCACCAGCAGCACCAGCAGCACCAGCAGCGAACCTGCTCGTGCTGCTCGCGCTGCTCGCGCTGCTTGTGCTGCTTGTGCTGCTTGTGCTGCTTCTGCTGCGGTGTTGCTGGTGCTGCTGGTGCTGCTTGTGCTGCTTGTGCTGCATGTGCTGCTTGTGCTGCTTGTGCTGCTTCTGCTGCTTCTGCTGCTTCTGCTGCTGCTCGTGCTGCTTCTGCTGCTTGTGCTGCTTGTGCTGCTTCTGCTTCTGCTTCTGCTTCTGCTTCTGCTTCTGCTGCTGCTGCTGCTGCTGCTGCTGGCTCTGACCGGCGCCGAGTCGCAACCTTAAGGCAAGAGTGTATTATGACTGTGCGCGCGCGCAATGTTTTGTTGATTTTGGCCGCAAATGGTTTGAAAGGAAAAAGTGCATGTTGACTGCACCTGCGCGCGCGCTGTTTCCTTGATTTCAGCTCTTTTCTATGATTTGCGGAACTCACTGGCGCCTGCAGTGAATCATTGCAGAAAACAATGCTCGTGATGTGGCTTCAGCGGCGTGATGTGCCTAGTGTTTTTCACAGCGCCTGCCACGCAAGTTGTGCCTTGAGCGGCGTGATGTGAGTTAAGTCGAGAACTTGTAGCGATGTTGTTCGTGCCCGTTTCCTGTGCCATTGCTGGCCATTGCTGTAATTTCTTTGGCTTGATGTCGGATGGTGTTAGTTTATGTAGAGTTGCAAGTGGGAACTGTCGCTGAACTCCATGCCCTCAGGCCAAGATGGACCATGTGCACATTGAGGAGCAGATTAGGCCCTTCAAAGCGAAAGACCTATGGCATCTGCTGATGACACTTAGAGAGGAAAAGATAGCACGAGTCTTGAAAATTGTAGAAATGCGTCTACTTTTGTTACCGGTTTCTCACAATAAATATATATAATGGTTGTGCTGATGAAAAACCAAAAGCTGAACCATGGTATCTATTTCTTGCAACGCTGTTTATCCGTATTATTTTGTTATTTTTTTGGATGCTACAGGCTGCGCAACGGACTCTAGGGCCTATGTGTCAGAGATGTGGCTGAGCAGTTTTTGTCTCAGCCGCAGCATGCCTTCCACATTGGCCCCGAAGACTACAGTTTCAGCATGTTTCAGCAAACTTACGCTAAGGTTGGATATGGTTGATCAATGCTTCCACTATATATTATGCTTCATCAACGGAATCGACAGTCAAAGGGCTAGTGTCAAGGCTAATTTGCCTGGAGTTTGAAGCTGAAGGCTGAAACCTGAACAGTCCTGCGTCTTTCAGCGCGCTGAAACGAAAAGAGTTCTCTCAGCCGGCAGAGGCTGAAAAAAAGTGAAGCCATTATATATTTCAATGTAGTTCTGTCGAGCCGGGTCAAGTTCGTGGCAAATGGATTTCTGCAGAACGAACACAATGTTTCAACTGTTTCAATTTTTTAGTTCCTTGGTGTTCTGAGGGCTTCCTCTTCAAGTGCCCGGCACCTGCTCCGAACACTCCGGAGGCAGGAAATGACAACAATCACCAGGGTCGAAATGTCCTTCGCTTGGCTCTAACCTCTTTCAAGTACAGCCTAGACTCGTAGACTCGTAGACTCGTAGACTCGTAGACTCGTAGACTCGTAGACTCGTAGACTCGTAGACTCGTAGACTCGTAGACTCGTAGACTCGTAGACTCGTAGACTGTATGAGCGCTAGCAGCAGAATAGCCTTTGAATGGCAACTGAATGCAGTGACCACAATGACTGATAGATCTAATCGTGACTCATGTTGGTGACTCATGTCGGCGACTCATGTTGACAAAAATAGCGGGAGTGGCTCAACTTTGCCAGGCTGACAGAGAAGGAACTGCTGCAGAGATGACTGATCAACAGGAAGCAGAAGAACTCGAAAAGGAGGAGCTTCACTGAGCTTCCCTGGTTCTCTTTCAGCATGTCCTCGACACCCTTGATACATCATGATGTATCTTGATACATTGGTACTTGGCCCTATTTTAAGTTCTCCACATTCGAACAGCCAAGCTTTGTCCAGCTGCCAAATGATGCACTTGGCCTAGTTACTGGGTGGACCACCAGGAAGAGCAGTTCAGAGGCAACATAGTCTAGGTCGCAACGCAAAGTTCCAGCCCCATCAAGAAATGCATAGACTATAGAGATTCAATATATTCAATGTTTATTCCATTGGAACCTATTTTAATCTGCATATGCTCGTACATTCTTCACATCCCTTTTGCCTCGGAATCTATTCCAGTGTCATGGTGAAATGCGAGCATAGCATAGCCAGCATAGACTCTAAGCAGAGAAAATCAAGCCAAATTGAACACGAAGAGTGACATGGCGGCATGGAAAGAGCCGCCAGGGCCAACACATTGAGATCCTAGAGTCCTAGAGCTTTGACGAATCAAGGGCCAAGTCCAGTCTAACCAACGGAGAACATACAATGACGCAAAATATGCAAAATAGATCAAAATAGTGATAGGTGATATCATTCGTCTTTGGGGTTTGGATGTGATGCGATGATTTTTGCAACACCACCAGTTTTCCAGGAAGAAGCTTTGGCGGAGGAGGGCATTGGTCCCTTGCCACCTTCTCAAATCCGGGGAGGGGACTGCTTCCATGAAAGATCTGAAGAGTCACTCATTTCCCATCTGGTCCCATCTGGTCCCATCTGGTCCCATTCACAGCGCTGCCGTTTCTGAGGCCGATCGTCGGTTTGTTGAGCGCACACCTTTTCCAGGTCCAGTTCTGCTTGTCGCAGTGTGGCGCAAACTCAGCTCCCATGCTATGCTTCAGCCGCTAAGGCAACAAGTTCGGTACCGGTTTGTTTGGAAGTGGCTTGAGCGTGTCCAAGAGAGGTTTTTGTTTGATGTGTGTTGAAGAGCAAAGTTTAATAAGAGCCAGCCAACCCCGACCAAGGAAAGGTGCGTGACACAGGGGTTTTCAGAAGGAAGCTGGTATTTCCAATCACCTGGATCACCTGATATAGTATGTCTTTGCTGCAGAAGACGGGCAAATTCAAAAACAATATCAAAAGAGTCAAGAGAGATCAAGAGAGTAGTCAGAGTATATACGTCCGAAAGGGAAAACAAGGACATGTTGACACAACATGACGCAGCCTCACGTAGCTGATCATGTGGCCTCATCTTGCTGTCTTGATCAAGGCTTCCAAGATTAGAACATGGACAGTAGGAATCATTAGGGTATTATACCCAGAGAGAGTAAAGTAGTTACAGCTGCTATGGCTCGCCCAAAACAGAGTCCACTCGTTCAGCCTGGCTACACAGCAAAGTAAAGTAGGCATGGGCAATTGTGGCTTGCAGATGCTTGCAGATGCTTCCAGGCCTGAGAACCCTGTAGATGTAGAACTCAGCGTCGATGCCTTGTTAGCTTGACGGTGTAGATTTGTCCCGTATTTTGACTTAACTTTTTTTTAATTTCTCAACATGTCTGACGCTATCCCGTATGTAGACATATTTTAACCCTGCTTGTCACATCTTATCACCATTATTGCTGCTTACCGCTTTTCATTTGAGCATTAATTATGGCCCGCGGTCGGTCTGACTCGCGACCCCGGCGGCGTTCAAACTCTCGGCGCCAGGATTCCAGGCAGGAAATTTGAAAATTGATCAAGACAAGAAGCCTAGTTTGACAATTTGGTTTGATACCATGATCCAAACAACCTACAGCCATCGGCAAATTCCTGAAGCTGTGGAGCTTCGGCCCTTGCAAAAGATTTGCCCGGATGCGTAGCGAAGGGTTCTTGTTTTCTTTCTTGTGGGTCTTCTGGGGGTGGTGGACTGTTTGCGAGTCGTTTTCGTCTTGCGGGTCTCTAATCTCGTCGTCGCGGTGTCTATGGGGAAAGTGAGAAAAGGTGATGTTTTGTGACGTGTGACAGGCGTGTGACTTTGTGGCACTCAGGCGAAAGTTGCCTCGCGGTGCTCTAATCTTGTCGTGGCGGTGTCTATGGGGAAAGTGAGAAAAGGTTATGTTTTGTGACGTGTGAAAGTGCATTTCGCGTGGCAGGCAAGGGGCTTTGTGGCACTCAGGCGAAAGTTGCGTCGCGGTGCTCTAAGCACTAATCTTGTCGTGGCGGTGTCTATGGGGAAAGTGAGAAAAGTGATGTTTTGTGACGTGTGAAAGTGCATTTCGCGTGGCAAGCGTGAGAGTTTCGTGGAGTGTGGGCTGTGAAGCGTGGAGTGTGGAGTGTGAAGTTTGCAGTGTGAAGTGTGGAGTGTGAAGTGTAAAGTGTGAAGTGTAAAGTGTGAAGTGTGGAGTGTAAAGTGTGAAGTGAAGTGCACAGTGGAGAGCGGAGAGTGTGTGAATTGTGAAAAGTGGAGTGTGAAGTGTGAAAGTGTGGAAGTGGGGAGTTTGTAGTGTGGAGTGTGAAGTGTGAAGTGTGGAGTGTGAAGTGTGGAATGTGAAGCGTGAAGTGTGAAAGTGTGGAGTGTGAAGTGTGAAGTGTGGAGTGTGAAGTGTTGAGTGCAAAGTGTGAAGTGTGAAGCGTGGAGTGTGAAGTGTGAAGTGTGAAGTGTGGAGTGTGGAGTGTGAAGTTTGCAGTGTGAAGTGTGGAGTGTGAAGTGTAAAGTGTGAAGTGTAAAGTGTGAAGTGTGGAGTGTAAAGTGTGAAGTGTGGAGTCTGAAGGGTGGGGTGTCAAGTGTGAAGTGTGAAGTGTGGAGTGTGAAGTGCGGAGCGTGAACTGTGAAGTGCACAGTGGAGAGCGGAGAGTGTGTGAATTGTGAAAAGTGGAGTGTGAAGTGTGAAGTGTGAAGTGTGGGGTGTGAAGTGTGAAGGGTGGAGTGTGATGTGTCAAGTGTGGAGTGTGAAGTGTGAAGGGTGAAGTGTTAAGTGTTAAGTGTGGAGTGCGGAGTGTGAAATGTACGGTGTGGAGTGTGAGGTGTGGAGTGTGAAGTGTGAAGTGTGAAGTGTGGAGTGTAAAGTGAGGTGCGAAGTGTGGAGTGCGAATTGGAGCGTGTGAAGTGAGAAGTGTGGAGTGTGCGGTGTGGAGTGTAGAGTGTGAAGCGGAGAGTTTGAAGTGTGGATTTCGAAGTGTGGAGTGTGAAGTGTCGAGTGTGCAGTGTGAAGTGTGGTGTGTGAAGTGTGAAGTGTGGAGTGTGAAGGTTGGAGCGTGGTTGGTCCTTCCGCCCTGCTGTTCGCGCGCGTTTGCGAAGTCGTTTTCCCCAATGGAATAAAAGTTTTTTTTGGTGTTCCATCCCATTAAACGCAGTGTTTCGTCAGGGTCGGCATGGGGTGGGGTGGGGTGGGGATGTTAACGTTCATGTTAACTTGCGGCACATGCACAACTGACGTCACGTCACTGGGTTGGGGTGGGGTGGGGATGTTAACGTTCATGTTAACTTGCGTCACATGCACAACTGACGTCACGTCACTGGGTTGGGGGGGGTGGGGGATGTTAACGTTCATGTTAACTTGCGGCACATGCACAACTGACGTCACGTCACTGGGTTGGGGTGGGGTGGGGATGTTATCGTTCATGTTAACTTGCGGCACATGCACAACTGACGTCACGTCACTGGGTTGGGGTGGGGTGGGGATGTTAACGTTCATGTTAACTCGCAGCACATGCACAACTGACGTCACGTCACTGGGTTGGGGTGGGGTGGGGATGTTAACGTTCGTGTCCGATGGTGAGAGCGCCGCCCAAGATGGGCGCGTGCGGGCACCAGGCCAGAACCTGGTTGGAAGTGTGAAGTGTGGAGTGTGCAGGATGAAGTGTGGAGTGTGAAGTGTGGAGTGTGAAGTGTGAAGTGTGGAGTGTGAAGCCTGGAGCGTGAAGTGCTGGAGTCTGAAGTGTGAAGTGTGGAGTGTGAAGTGTGGAGTGTGGAGTGTGAAGTGTGAAGTGTGGAGTGCGAAGTCTGGAGTTGGAAGTTTGGAGTGTGAA